GGAAAAAAAAGAAAGGTAATTACAATTTTTTTAAAAAAAAATGGTTAAATGGTGGCTACATAATTAGATGGTGATAAGTCTTTGTTGTTATTATTATGTGTTCTTAAATTGCCTATGACTCACAGCAACCTTATGCACAATATCTCTGAACCCTGTCCTATCCTGAGCCAGTATCACTGTCTCCAACACACCAACCCCCATTACTCTAGTTTCTCTATCAATCCATCTAATCCAGGGTCTTCCTCTGCTGCTCTGTCCCTCTACCCTTCCAAGCATGATGTCCTTCACCATAGACTGGTCCCTCCTGGAAATATGCTTAAAATTTATGTGACAGAGTTTCAAAACCCCTTGCTTACAAGGAACAACTTGGTTTCACCCTCTCCAGGATAAATCTGATCAGTTATTAGGAATAAAATAAAGCAGATATTGTAAAGGGATAGGGATTGTTGTGGGGGAAGTGGATGGGTGTGGGTGTTTATGTAACACAGCATTCTGAAAAAAAAAAGCATCATTGGTATGAATAAACTTAAACTGGGATCTGCAGTGAAATGAGGAAGAAGGGATTTCAAAAACATTTCTGGGCAGAGAGGTCAGTAAGTGAAAAGTCTTCTAAGGGCAAAGTACTTTTATGTCCAAAGAATTTCAAAATCTCTTGTAAAGTTGGAAGAGGAAAGTGTAAGAGGAGCAAGCCCAGAAGGAAAAAGGGAATTAGATCATGACAGACTGAAAGTGTGTCTTAGACTTTGACACAGTGTGAGTCTGTAAGCTTTTAGAGAGATCTCTGATTTGCTATAGAAAAGGAAATATGCAATGATACATAAGACTCTTGCCACATGTGCATTTAAAGTTAAAATAATTATAAAATCAATAATATTTAAAATTCTATAGTCAAATCTTCCAATTGCCAGATAGCTCCAAGTGACTCATGACTAACTGTACAAAGTAGACAAACTTTCAAACTCATTGCCTTAGAGTTGGAATTGACACAGAGTTGACCCTCCAGTGGGATTTTCAAAGGCTATAAATCACACATGTAGAGATTACTCATCTTTCTCCCATGGAACCACTGGTGAATTGGAGCCACCAAAGAAGGGCTGCCTTTGGGTTAGCAGCGTAACTATCCACAGACTATGGGAGTGATGTGTACTAGAGTTTTCTGTGACCACAGGAAGCTCTGCTAGACAACATCAATCCAAATACTGTATAGTTGATAAACTGAAGGTATTAAGATTAAAATCATCAAGGCCAGATAAGAGGTTCATGGGTTCTGGAGAGTGGGGGTGACATGATATTTTGATGGATTAGATCAGGTAAGTGAGACAAAGAGAAGACCAGTTTGACACTGAGATCCTTCTCTTGAATAAACTGCTGGTGGTTTTGACTTTGACTGAGACAAGAACACCAGAAGAATCAAATTGAGAGGGAGATGAAAAGCTCAGTTTTATCATATTCACTTTGAGATGCCTAATCAGACCTCTATAAGGATGTTGAATATGGAAACCTATGAATATGTAGGTCTTGGGGGTTCACATAGATGATGTAAATTATTAACAGATATCTTTTGGAAGGAGATGAAAAAGAAATGAAGTCTAAGGACTGAGCCCTGGAACTCCAATATTAAGATCAGAGGGATTATGAGATACTCACAAGGGGAGCATCTGGAAAGGAAGAGGAGACTCATGAGAGCTCAGGGCTTGAAAGTCAAGTGAAAATCTTAGAACAGGGGAAAATGAATTCATGGACTGTGTCCCAGGCTGCTGCTGCCTCATACAATACTGACTCTAGGATGTCCTGACCCTGATCAATGTGTTTTGATAGATTGCTGTGAAGGAGAGCCTTACTGAAAAGTGACACAGAGGAATACAAAATTTCTAAGTATGGAACACAAAACTATTTTTTTTGTGACCATCTTATTCTAGATGATTTTGTGCCATATTGATTTTGTTCTCCATGGCTGATATCAGTCAGTTTCAGGGCCATTGATAGTGGTTTCTTTTAATACCCTCTCTCTCATTTATTCTATGGTTAAGTCACACAAATCATTCCTCACAACTCCTTTCTCTCCAGGCCCTGGAGAAGTGTAAGGATGCAGGGTTGACCAAGTCCATTGGAGTGTCCAACTTTAACCGTAAGCAGCTAGAGATGATCTTGAACAAGCCAAGACTCAAGTACAAGCCTGTCTGCAATCAGGTGAGCC